TGCACCAATGCCCATGCAAAGGAAATATCTTGGGGGCCCAAGTAACTATGGAGTTCTGCCACCCCACTGAATTGGTCCACTTAATTTTTTCAGGCAAGGTATAAAACCAGCCTCTTTCCTCCCCAAGTCGCTTTTTGTCAAATGGGCGACCCTGCACCCCATTGATCGCCAGGCTTGATTCGGCTGCGTTCCCCAACTAGAACCTCCAAACCAGTGGTGGGATTCAGCCAGTTCGCACCACTTCGGGAGAACCGGTTGTTAACTTTCTAAGCAGTTTGGTGAACTGGTTGTTGGAAGAAATCCATTAAGGCAGGGAACCGATTGTTAAATTATTTGAATCCCACCACTGCTCCACACAAACTCAGGCGCTATGGGGAGGATCAAGCGATCCTCCTGCTTAATGAGATTTTTTTCACTGGCTCAATTATGCCACACATAGCGACATCTGTCAGGCTTTTAAGGGGAGAAAGGCCTGCCCCTGGACGGCCCTCCGATCGGAAACGTCGAGCCAGAGCTTAAAGCTGGGATTTGCCCTTCCAGGCAGGCGGGAGACGCCGACAGGGGCGAAGCTGCTCTTCCTTTCCTCCGGCAACGGTTTCTAGCCTCTCTCCGTTCTTCTGCGCAGTCCCCGACAGGCCCGTGGCCCTTCCTGCCCCGCTGCCGCCTGCGGGGGCGGGAGGCTGCCCTGAAGCGCTCGCCTGGACCCAGGGCCATTCGCCCGGCCGACGTGGCAACGCGGAGAGGAGCAGGCGCTCCTCCGCCTTCCGAGCGCCAGGCGCAGGGCGAGCACGTGTCAGCCCCTCGGCTCGGGATGCATCCTGTGGTTAAGCCTGGGGAGCAGTTCAGGCGGCGCTAAAAACAGCTCAGGCGGGAGCTATTCTCAGCCCGTCAATATTTATATAGCTGTCTCAGGTGCAGCACCTCGCGCCAGGGAAGCTTTTATTTAAGGGCTGGTGGGAGTTCCAGCGGCGGGGGCGACGGGCCGGAGCGTCACACGGCGGAAGTGGCTTCGGGGCCGAGCCAAGGTGTGGGAGCCCCCTGTTTCGCCGCAGCAGCGGGGAAAAGTGAGGGGGCGAGGGGGGGGGGCCGCTTGCGCAGGTGGGGTGGGGCGCCGACGAAGGCGAGGGAGGGGAAATTGGCACTATGGGGCCAAAAGAGCCTCAGGGCCAAAAGCCAAGAAGGGGCTCATATCCAACGCTGCCCCTCAGACCGCTCTTTTTCCCTCCGCTCTCCAAGGCTGCCTTTTAGCGCAGTGCTTCTCAAACGTGTCATCTTTTAGATGTGTGGACTTCAACTCCCAGAATTCCCCAGCCGTCAGTTTCAGAAAGGATGTTTTAAAAATGTGCTGCCTGTGAGTGTATGGCCTTTCGGATTAGTAGCCCAATACTCCGGGAATGTGTCCAGTTCCCCTTGAACGGGATATATAATATATATTAGCAGCCAATACCAGATCTGATTGCAGTGAGTTCCAGAGTTTTATTGTGCTACAAGAGGACTTCCATTTATTGGTTATGGACTGCCTGCATTTATTTTTAAGGTGTGATTCTGCTTTCTAAATTATGACTGAGTGTTATAAAAAGCCTATATCTCTCCCCCTTTTCCTTAATTCCTGCATATATTCCTCTAATCTGCTCAATCTGTAAACCACTTAGAGAAGGCTGTAAAGCACTATGAAGCGGTATATAAATCTAAGTGCTGTACGCTAATGAAAAGTGCTTGAAAATTACAATATTACTTTGAGACAGTATGTGGTTTCTAATGGAAGAGAACACTTTCCACGCTACCTCTCACACTGCCAATCAAATTGCAGCCCAACCTACTGCAAAAAGGATGCAAAAAAGGCAGATTAGCCAGATAAGGCTGCAGTTTCACCCTCCTTTTTGTCATAAGATTACGACACTTCCTCCCTCCAGAGTAATCATTTTCTTCCTAACAGAAGCTGGGGGTAAGAAAAGAAAAGAAAAGAAAAGCTGGGGGTAAGAAAAACCTTTAAGTCTCTGCTTCTTACTTCTCAACCAGAAATGCCGCATTAATAGTCCATCTGTATTCATATCCATCTATCCATGAAGCATTTCTGGATAATGTGCTAACCCTGTGACTCTCCTCTGCCACCATCACTGCAATCAGAGGAGGTCAAACACATGAGAAACCCTTCAACCTGAAGCAGAATGCCAGGACAGTCTCTCTTGAGATTGGAAGAAACCTGGCAGATAACAAAATGGATAATCTTTGGTGTGTATAGTAAACGAACTGGTGCTGCTTTTAATTTTTATTCATTGCCCCTGGCGAAAGAGACCCCCCCCCAATGGCATGTGCAAATAAGAAGTCTCAAGAAATACACAAAGGGATGAAAAATCAGGAAAAGCCTCCTGTTTTCAACCTACTGGGTGACATGACCAAGGAACTCTGGCTGCATTCATGAAACTCACTTAAATTGGTGAATTCGTTTTATACGTTGGGACAATATATAAACTACCCAAAGTGGCTGGATTTACACATGTTAAGCCACAAGGAAGCCTAACCAGTGATAAAATTTGCCAGCTTTTACATGATGTGCAAATGCAGTTATTTAAAGCTTTAACAGACCTGGTTAAGCATGTTGTACAAACACAGCAGCGGGTTTCATCACCCAGTCTGATTTGGAATGGGAAGGCACAGGGAAATAATTGCTGCTGTCAGCTACCCTCTTAAGCAGTTTCTTCAGAAAACAGCACGGCCTTTTTGTTTCTAAAGGGAGGGAAAACTCCTGCAGTGTGCTCTGTGCATTGCTGTGGCTGCCTTTTTCAGCCTTTCCAGCAGTCAGCTAAGAAGCTTCTGCAAATGCAGTTTAACAAAAGCATATGCAACAAACCACGTCATCAAAATAGCAGCACAGTGATGCAAATATGACATATATTTGCTTCAGGGTGTGGAATGCAAATAGAAAGTTCCATGGTTTATGTCAGGGGTCTCCAACCTTGGCAACTTTAAGACTTGTGGACTTCAACTCCCAGAGTTCCTCAGCCAGCTTTGCCAGTTTTGCTGGCTGAGGAACTCTGGGAGTTGAAGTCCACAAGTCTTAAAGTTGCCAAGGTTGGAGACCCCTGGTTTATGTGATTACAGCATCTCTCCCTCTCCTGGGATGCCAATGGCAAGTAGGGCAAAATGAAACACCTGAATAAAGCACTTAGGTCTGTCTCCATGCCTTGATGAAACTGACTTGCACAGGCCTGTTCTCCTCCTCTTATACCTGTGCTATTTTTGGCAAGAGCAGCACGAGGGATCATAGCTCAAAAACAAAGTTGATCTGGAAGTTCTGGATTCAACTCTTGGTATCTCTAAGATAAAGGGATCAAATCAAAGATAATGAAAAAGATGTTCTCTGCCAGAAACCCTGGAGAGTTATTTCCAGAAGAAGTGAAGGATGACACTTGAACCTGGTGTATATTTCCTAAATATATTAAGATTTTCATCTTCATGGGGCAAAACTGAAGGCAAAAGGAAAATATATTTAGAGAATGAACTCAGACATTGCTGTGCTTTATAAATCATGACTCGGGGTTTATCATACTCTGCACTAACCAGTTATGTAATTATTAAGCCATCATTAGTCAACTCATGGCTTAGCAGTGTATGTAAACAGATATATTCTGGGAAATGTACTGACAACTGGATTTTGCTTTTCCTTGGGACATCAGCACCAACTATTATTTTCCATTATAAATGTTTCCATTATTAGCATTTTCTGTTTATGGAAAAGGGGTGATGGCAGATGACCCATGTTTTAGCTCAGGCTAGGCCAAATCTCGTATGTTGCAAGCTAGATGGCATGGATGCAGCACTGCCAGATACTACCAGTAGTACCAAAACAGCTGTGCAAAATGTGAACATGACACCAACAAATGAAAAATACAGCTGCCTTAGTTAAGACTATGGAACTGCATTAGAATAGGGCTACTCTGCCCTTGCTCTTTTAAGCCCTCTTAATTTAAGCAGCAATGGTTCCCTCTTGTGGCCATCTTTGGTCTAGCCAAAAAAGGAGTTCCACAGACTGTGGTCTGTTGGGTTATGATGAAATAATAGTAACTTGTGTAAAGCAGTGATGAACTTTCAGGCTGAATGACCTTAGGAGCTGTGCCATATAAGTTGTGTGAATCCATCCACTTTCAGTTTATTCAATTAACTGTGGTTAAACTAATCATGACTTAGCAGAAAAACGAAGCCCAGCTTTTGATTCTTTCCACTGTGCTGTTTGTTCTAGGTTCAATTCAGTTCTGAAAAGTTCCTCTGCTAAAGCACCCACTCTTGACCAGATACCACACAAGATGATTGCCACGGGATGCGATATAAAATGGGGCCCTTTACAATCTTCATATAAGTGAATATTTACAAACTTATGTTACTATGAACCATCAAGAAAAGTGCAGGAACAAGAAATTGTTCCTGCACTAATTCCTGTAACTGCAGCTACTGCAATACACAGGACATTGGGGGGAACTTAGATTTAACAAGGAAATATTTCCAATGCGAACCATCGGGGTGGTAATATAGGGAGTAGTTGCCCTGGGTTGCATTACAACCGAGACCGGATATTTGGGATTGACAAATGTTTGGGAAGTAGAAGGCTCTATTATTTTATGTAACATGCTTCCTGTTTCCTAAGAATAAAGCTGATATTTCATCGTTTTGTATGATGACTCAGAAATTATGTGGCTTTACATAACTACTTTGTCAGCCTTTGACAATTTCCTTTTCCTTGGAAAAATCTACCTACTGCCGCATACAATTTCAATTTATGTCAGTCGATGTTTGTGCCAGTTCCTAAGGAAGTCACATTGAGATGAATGGCTGTTGCTCATAAACTGCAGTTGAGAAAGTGTGAGACCAATGGCAACCCCCATCCACAAACCCCACAACCAGCATTGTCTGTGCTTGCTTTGAATCCGGCAGCCAGTGACTGATGTGCTCCCATAAAACAAGAGAAACATTACAGTACTACAAAAGATGATTGGAGAAAGGAAGGCGTTTTTCAAACTCTTTATTAATCTCTGGATATTTTCTAGTAGGCAATGATTTTATCGTCAGTTCTTCATATGAAATTCATTCATCACATACAGGGAGGGGAGCTACTGACATTCCTCACTGTGTCAACACATTTTGCTTGCAATCCATGTGGAAAACTGAGGTGGAGTATTAGATTTAAACTGATTTATTCCCACTGATTTCAATGGAATGGAACGGATAGCAGCCAAGTATTCTGGCTCCCATGCTTTGTGACTGAGATTAGCTGGTGCAGAAAATCCAACCGAGGCCGAATCAGCAAGGGCAGCTGGCTTCTGGCCATTTCCTGACTGGATTTGCAGTCAGATTGCAGAGAGGTGTTTGCAAGCAGCTGCTTTTTGCTAGTGAGAAATATGACTCTTTGGGACGCTGGCTCAGTCAGGCATATCTGGCTTTGGATGGGGAGCACAAGGTTAGATGACATGAATGGCAGCAGACTCTCCTTAACCCTCTGCTGAGGTGATTTTGTAACAAACTGGCCTTGGTTTTGATCTTCTGGAAAACATGACTCATCATCTATGTTATAAACTGGTTCTCAGGAGCAGCATTTCAGAATGGCCGTATTTTCACAGGTCAAGAAGCAAAAAGCAAGATAAATAGCACCACTGGGAGTTTTGGAAGAAAAGAAATTGCTAAAGAGCAGTCCAAGACAATCTGAACTAAACGAACCTCAGTATAATTGGCTTATTCAACCGGAGAGAAAGCTACCCCGTGGGCTCTCCTTCCTGCATGGCTCTAAGCGTTCCTCTAACTACAGGAGAACTATAAGCTGTGTGCATTCCTTCAATGATCCAAAGAAGATGAATAAGTTGTTGAACAAGATAGAGGGACAAACTCCTGGTTAAATAATACAACATGGGAAGCATGTTAGTTGATTATAAAGTTGAAACAAATTTGCCAGAAAAGCTCAGCCATTGTGTTCATAGCATGTTTTGTGTCCCACATGAAGCAGCAGTGGCTCTTACTTGCTTAGTGACCATGCTACTCCAGGAGAAATGTATCGTAGTGGTATATTGAATAATTTGTGATGAAAAAATATGAAAGGACGCTAGTAAAACAGGCCCCCAAATGCTAAGGTAAGAGAGTTCATTTCAAAGGCTTGGGTTGGAGAATGCCCAGATTTCTCTCTTTTTGAGCCAATGCAGTAAATCATCCTATTGGTTCAGAGATTCTTGAAATCCTCCAAGGCTACTCTAGCAGCATTGCGTCCCACTGCTCCCATCACACCTCCTCCTAGGAAGAAAATTGAGGCATTGAAGGAAGAAAGAGGCTTGACTACAACAGAAAGTAAAATGGTAACTTGGAACGGTTCTTAGAAATATTTCTGTTGACTACAACAGAAAATAAAATGGTAACTTGGAATGGTTCTTAGAAATATTTGTGATTGACAGGTAGGCCTGAACAAATGACCCCAAACTCTTTCAGCCCCTTCCAGGACTATATTGCAGAAATCAAGGTTCCCATAATGACACTATGGGCAAACACCTTTTATGTCTTTTTTTTTAATTGCAGCCTTGCATATACCATTCACCCTGCCCCTCTCCCAGACATACCAGGATGAGCACCGCTTCCACAGAGGTATAGGCCTTGGATTGGAGACTGGTAACTGGAGTAAGATGGCACTGGTCGGGCAAAATATAACTGATCCAAAGACATGGCTCCATGGAATATATTCTGAAAGTCAGAGGCAGTGTCAGATGAGACATTGCTGAAGAGACAGGGGTCTTTGACCATTTCCCAGGGCAGAGAAAGGGAATGGCTACCCTGTGGCATTCAGAGTCTAAGAATAGCATATAGGATAGATTTCCAAGACTATTTTACAGTCAAAGGCGGAAGAATAAAAACAATCCTTATGGTAATTTGTAAGTGGGTGGGTGGGTTTTAGACAAAGTTACTGTGTAAAGATCAAGCTATACAGTCTCTTAAATTGAGGGGGGAGGGGTGATTTTCAGGAAATACATACCCCACCAGGTAGGCCAAAGATCTGCTCAAGGTCTGGAGGTGTTAAAACATCTATGCCAATGATGGATGCCTTGAACCCAGGTGCATAGGCTTCAACACTGTCAAATACTACAGAGAGAGAAGACATCTGGTAGGGACCGTAAATCAGGAGTAGAACAGAACTTCCCAACATTAATCTCTGGAATGTCCAGGTTGAACTGGAGAGCCTCTATCTTTAATCTTGGAATCTCCTCCCAGTTACTGTTGAAGACACTTAAACAGTTGGATCCATGGTCTGATATAGTATGAGGCAGTCTTCTCATTGGCCAAATAGAATAAAATACTTGTTTCTTGGTTCAAGGCAAATCAATCATTATTTATCTAGGTGGCCCCCCAACATCTACCTTTTAGACAGGTTGGAATGCAAACCTTCAAGAACATAAAGCTAGGGATGCTCTGTGATTAAATTATCCTTCAGTTGCTGCTAGGCTCCTGTTCATTCCAAGAACTTCCCTGTTCATCATCAGGAAATGCACATGGCTGTTCGCAGAGGTTTTCTCTGTGTACTGAAACAGCAACTGAGAGCAATATATCCTTCTAAAAGAGTAAGGGAATTAACATTTTATCAAGGATACAGTGATAAGGTATACATGAGTGGAAAGGTAAAGATAGTCTTGCAAATGGTAGATGCTCCTTAGGTAAATGCAAGATTTGCCCTTTATACCAAGATTACTCCCTGCCAGGGTTTAGCCATTGGCTGTACCTTGATTGGCATAGTCCTCTCGGTCACGGGAGTCCCACTGTTTTTCTTCGGCAAGCAAATAGGGGGTGTATTGGGTAAAAAGTGAAATCACATGGCAGCCTGGGGGAGCCAGGGTAGGATCCAAGACCGATGGAATGCACATCTCAATCATGGGCCTAAACAAGAAGAAAGAAGGCAGCTTGTGACTCTTATCCCCAGAGTCACTGGCTGACAGTTCTCTATCTGTGGCTGCTAAGATCATGCCTCAGTTTTATACTAACACGCTGGACTTGCCCTAATACAATCCTGCCAACAGCTTCCAACAGAAGGGAACTAAATAAGGTACTTGGCACCAAGCCAAGAAGATAGCCCAAGCCTTGAAACAAATCTTCTGAGAAGACCTAAAGTCTGCTGAAGGATAACGTGACAGGACAAAGTCCTACTTGTTTCGTAATATGTACTGACTTTGCAAAAACTCGCTGAAAACAATACACATAAATCCAGGGGTGAACAAGAAGTAGCACTCCAGTTCTTGCAGAATGTCAACTTCTAGCATCATCTTTAATCAGACTAGTTGGGGTTGCTGGGAATTGAAATTCAGCAACATGGGGAGGGTGAGGGAATCACCCATTCCTAGCAAATACTAGTAGCAAATTCAGCTCTTCTGACCAATAGAAGAGGAAACCAGAAGGAAATTGGACAGATGACAGATTAAACAGAAAAGATTGGTCAAGAGCACCATCCACATATTGTTGGTTCTGGGTCCCATTTGCTATTCTCATAAAACCAAGAAAATACAAATTTGAAATAGGCAATTTTCATTATAGATAATAGATACCATCTTATCTGGAGTATATGATTTCCAGCATGAGGCCTAATATTCCAATTTTATTTATTATGGGGTTGAAATAGTATACCTTAACCTAACAATGCAATTCCACATACAATTTATTTGGGAGTTGGCCTCAGTAATTTTCATGAACTTAATTCTAGTGAGTAAACAACCATATAATTGGGCTGTTAATTTTCTTTCTACACAAAGCACAGATTGAGTGTCAAGGTGAATTACTATTCTGGATTTTAAATGGTATTGTGCACTTAAAACCGTTGAATAAATGATAATACTGAGAGATGAAAAAAACAGAAAACACCAGCAAACTCTTTGTTGTTGCAAAGATATGGCACTGGAAGATCAAACCAGCAGTGCAGAATGTGCATCTAAATTAGAATTTCTGCACTACATTCATAACAGGAACAAAAGCCTGACAGATGTTGCAGTGCCTAAAATAGCTAATGAAACTGTGTAGATGCATATGAAATTCACAGTCATATAACTTACTAGAAAATAATATTTGCTTTGCTACAAAATGAGCTACCAGGATTAGATCATGGTAAGGGTTTTAGATTAGAAACTCTGGAGAGGTGAAATCTGAGTTAACAGTTTAAGTCTGTGCTCTCAAGTGTAGGAAAATAGTAAATTTAACTGCAGGGCACTTCCAGGTTGAGTACTAGGACGGCTACCTAAAAGGATAGCTGGGAGCAGGTCCAACCATAACAGTTTTAAATATGTATTAAGTAATAGTAGCATATATTAGCATATATAATTTCATATATTAGAATTGAGTTGACTTCATTCTCTTCTGTAGCTGATAGGGCAGGAAAAGGTTGTCTCCCTCAAAGCTAAGAGGACCTCAGTTTACAAATTCTCAATCACCATTCTTTGCCATGTTGGCTGGGAATTATAGGAACTGAAATCTAACATAACTGGAAATATGCAGGGTTTTTGGGGGGTGGGTGCTCCATCCCCAATTCAGGGGTGAAATGCTCCTGGTTCGGGCCGGATCGGGCAATCCGGTAGCAATTGTGGCAGGTGGTTCGGAGAACCGGTAGTGATGGTGGCGAGAGGCTCCGCCCACCTGCCCAGATGTCGTTACTTCCTGCTTTTAAATGGTATAAAAAAGGCTCTGACGATCGCACGCCACATCATTTTTTTACAACCTATTCACCTGAAAAAAATGCTTAAAAAAAGTTTAAAAAAAAAGTGGCCACGCCCACCGTCACATTACCCCACCACCACTAAGCCACGCCCACAGAACCAGTAGTAACAAATATTACATTTCACCACTACCTCAAACCTATTGAAGCCACTCAGAAGTGGTGACCATACCTTCTCGAGGGCCTCCCATTGCAAGCATCTTCAAAGGCCTGGTGCAAGGCATGAGTGTTTTCACAATTGAGATGGATGGAGCATTGATGGTGGGGCAAGGGGTCGTTGCTGGTAGTGTTTGAGACTGCCAGAAAATTGGGCAACCGATCCACAGCCACTGGGGATATGCGTAGTAAAAGTTGATGTTATAAACAACGCTAGGCAGTACAATAAATTTCAGTTCTCCAGATACTTAACACAGCATTCAGGAATTTGCTCACAACAGAACATAGATAAGTCATTTATTGCAGATAAAATGGAAGCCATACTTATGAAGAACACCTACCTACTGCAACAGAAATCAAGTCCTACATAATTTCTATTTTAGGATTTAAATTCTAGGCCTTTTGATCCTACCTTTTCAAGACTACAAAAAATTGGCTGTTTTCTTCTCTGCTTTGAGATTGGGACATATGATCAGTGTTTTGCAAACTGTTCTGTGTAGCATGAGAGCCATTGGTTCCCCACTTTGTCAACATTGTTCTTTAAATCACCAGCCCTCTAAAGTTGGGGTGGGGGGGCAAATAAAAATAGATTTCCAATTATCTGAGCAATTGAATTGGAAGAACAAAAGATAATTCCTCTTTTTTTTTTTTTTTTTTGCTTTTTCTATTCTTCACATGTCTTTTGTACTATTCAGTCTGAAGAACAGAAATCTGTTATCTGTTCTGTAATGTTTCAGTTGGCCCTATTAAATTTACCCAGTATTAGATAGGGAGAACTCTGCCTGTTGTGCCCAGGACTATGGAAATTATTGTACCACTAAGAACTTTTACATGGAAGCTTCTCACCTATTCACTGCCTTACAGTCCTCACCATTGATCTTGGTGACTGGAGAACGTGTGTCAAACTGTGAGATTCTTTGTACAAACTCCAAGGGCAGATGCTCCTAGAAAGAAGAAACACAGATGCTTGGTTTTGAAGCAAATTGGAAAATAGTTTGGAGTTTAACTGCCCAAACTCACTTTTCTCATTCTTCATATATTTTATACTATGTGAAGAATGCATACATGATTGGCACTCTCAGTCACTCACCCCTGTATGCAGTTGCCAAGAATTCAGATTTAGATGGATACAGTATGACAACTGTCCTAATGGTAGCAGTTGACCAAGTAAGCCTACTTGATCAAGGGTCATGATTAAGTGCCATATCACATATTTTGTATGGAAAAAGTCCCAGTTTCACAGGACCATTATTTCATATATAAATGAATTAAAAATACTAAAAGGTATCTCGGTTAGTACCCACACCTCAGATAGGGCAGTTCATTGACAGAATAAGGACTTTATGCCAGAGAATATGGTACCCTCCATTTCTGGAATGCAATACAATTGGAGGTTCAGTGTTTAATATGAAAGCAATCCACTGTTCTGAAAAAAAGTATTAATCAATACAAACTAGAATTAGAAGAATCTTAAGATCTCAGTTGCACTCTTTTAGATTTGCCTGGCATTAGGTAGGAATTCTGGAACAGGAAGATGGAGAAACATATACTGGGACCACACGGCTCAGTCTTCTCCCCCTTTCCCTTTGGAATGCCTTCCTCTTTCCAAACATTTATCAGTCTTTCTCTTATATCAATTGAAGGAACTCTCAACAATCTTATTTGGCTTAGAATCCGTAGTCCAGTTCTCTTCTAGGCAAACTATAGTCCCTGCTTTCTTCTGGGTCTTGTTGCAAGAGATGCACATTGCTTATCCAGAACTAGAATGCAAATAAATCCATCAAATATTTGAGGCAAGTTCTAGGCATCCTGGTTTTTAAAAGAAGGAAAAAAATAAGGGCAATGGTGATGGTTTTCTAACAAGTCCCCCTGAGGCATTCCCTGTTTTGTCAGAAAGCTAAACATACTTGTGGAGTCAGCTCCAAAAAGGTCTGATGTGGAGATGCATTGGACAGCACCAAGTGGCTCTTCACTTCAGTTCCATCCTGGAGACAAACTCCTTGAACCTTCTTATCAGAACTCAGGAGAATCTGGGAAACTGCCTGAGGAGGAAAAACAAAACTATCAGCAAGTAAGTATGGGTTCTCATGTGATTAGTAAAAACTGCCTACTTAATCTGGTGGTAGAAGGGATCTTGACTTCAGGCTGTCCCCTCCATAAAAAAACCCAAGTTTGAATATCTGTGTCTTGCCCTGTGGATCAAAGATGTAAGGAACCCAGATCCTTACATAACAGCAAACAATTGCATTTGCTGCCTCTTTTCTTGGTTCATTGTTCTTTGCCAGTGTCCTCTTTCCTGGAGGCCTTTTTGGCACTCCTCAGATCAAGATTTGATAAATTGACTCACCTTATCAGTAAAGATCTCAGCCCCAAATGTAGTTGCAGCACGAGCCAAGGACCTGGAAAGTGCCCCCATGCCACCAGACACATAACCCCAGGCACCCTTGCGCCCCTCTACTCCTCCCATGACATGGTGCAGCAGAACATATCTATGAGAAAGGACAACAATTAGGGACTGCCAAGTAATATTATGAAGGCTACAATTTTATTTTTAATGTGGATCAGTATTTCTCAACCTTAGCAGTTTGAAATTGTGTGGACTTCAACTCCCAGAATTCCCCAACCAACATAGCATAACATAGGGAATTCTGGAAGTTGAAGTCCACATATTTTCAAACTGTCAAGGTTGAGAAACACTGATGTAGATGCTGGCCAGCAGCTTGGGTTTGTCTTTCTGTATACCTTTTTCAATGCAAGTCTTCTGCCTCAAATACAACTTAGTCTTTATAACTGTATGTATTACAGTGATTGTGTGCATTAGAATAATAACACTTCACTTCCCAAGGGCTTACAAAAATGTAGAATGTTATAGAAATAAAATGTAATGATGCTTGGTATAACTTACTAGCTATTTTCCTTGAGTCCAGCAATGCTGGTATATAGAATGCTGTTGATTTCCAACAAGGTATAAAGGCTGGGGATGAATATGAAAGGATGAAAGAAATGTATGTGCAGAGATAGGAGGGAGAGGTTAAGTTGTAAAACAGCAATAAGAATTAAGAACAATATTATTACCCACTGCCTGGTGTGTGTGGACCAGCCATGGCACCAATCACCGCATCTGTGGCCAATGTTGCTTTTAAGGGCTCTGATTCAAACCAGAAATCCAAAATCTGCAAGAAGAGAATGAGAAACAAGCCTTGTATGTAAACCCTGAAGGAATCTATATACATTCTATGTACTCATTGCCTTCCTCTGACCCACAGGTGCTAGGCTAACCTTAGGACCCTTTTACAGTTCAAATTAAAGTTATCCAAAATGTATTATTGAGCACCTACTGAATTAGGGAGATAGTAGTTATACAATTAAAAGGCTATGCAAACAATCCCCCTATTTCAGATTGACCAGGGCCATTCACCTTGGAAATGGGAGCTGTGAGAACCTCATAATACTGTGGAAGTTGTTTTCCCAAAGCAAATCCTGGCAAGAAGAAAACAAGGTTATTGTTTGCCCACCCCACCCCAAGAGTCATGTGTTTGAGATGGACAGCTATAGAAAATAAATAAACAAATAAATAAGGTGATTCATGCCTTTCAAATATAGAACCAAAAGGGAAACTACTCTAGTTAACATCCCACACAAAGACAGACTTATAGCTGCAGAAGATCCCCAGGAAAAAGATCATACCAGGAAAACTCCTCTCCTTCCTTCCTCCCTCCCTCTCTCTCTCTCTCTCATCTTCCACTGCTGTTCATACACAGGTGATATGCCATGCATGCTGCTTAAACACTTTTAAGTTCACATTTCTTGGTTAGCAGCACCCCTTTGGCAAAAAAATCTTCACAAACTGCTCCATAGGTTATTACTGTTAGTGCCAATTTTCAATTTATAAAAATGTTGATTTCAACCATCAAATTTAGGGAAGATGCAAAGTAATCTTAACTGATCTAGCATAGTCTTCTTCTTGTATGTATATTCTTTGGGCATTAGTGCACACATGTATTAGTACAACTAAGTGTGCAAATGAGTGCAGCCCTCAGTTTATCAGCCAATGTAGTTTCCAAGGGATATAGTGGTTGTTTTCTTGTTCCAAGATAGAAACAAGTAATCTTTTGTTTAAATGCTTTTGGGCTAGATAAGGTTACACATGTGGGCGAGGCTAGGTTTTATTTTAAGGCCAAGGCTAATGTCCACGTGTTTCCTTCTCAAAATTGTTGGAAACTGGGTGCCAAATTTTAGTAAACATGATCAGAAATTCTTTAAGGGCTGCAAAAAAGAAGTCTAGGGCAGCGTTAGCGAACCTTTTCAGCACGAAGTGCTGAAACAGGAGTGTGTGCATGCATGCACGGGAGCACCGGAAACTGGAAGAGCAGCTCCCCAGTGTACATGTGCGTGCCGGGAATCTGAGCTTACAGTTTCTGGTGTGCGCATGCGTGGCGGTCACCTGGTCTTCCGGTTTCTGGCATGCATATGTGCGCAAAGAGCAGCTGGCTGGTGCACATGCGCATGCCAGAAACCAGATGCTCAGCTTCCCGGTGCACGCATGTGCCCCAGGGAGCTGCTCTTCCGGTTTCCTGTGCTCCTGCACATGCGAAGACCAGCTGGCCAGCGTGCATGTCCACACTGGAACCCAGAAAAGCAACAGGCAATGGCTGGCGTGCCTGGAGAGATGGTTCTGCATGCCACTTCCGGCACGCGTGCCATAGGTTCGCCATCCCTGATCTAGGATTGCATTTACTCCTTCTTACCTTACAGCAAGGTAAGAGGAGAGAATGTTAATTCAAGTACAAAGTCTATGTGGTTGGGTGAGATTCTGATCATCTATGTAATTCACCACAACAGCCACTGAAGAGAAATCTGGATACGTATCACAAATGGCGGGGCCTGGGCCACCCGTCTCTCACCCGCACGGAACAGGGCTCTCAACCCCACCAAGGCCCTGAATCGCTGACGCAAGGAGCCCTGGGTGAGCGCAGCTACATCCATTGGACAGATATCAAGTAGAGGGTCAATGGCTGTCACCAAGCGGTTCATAAACGCCTCATACTTGGGAAAAGCCTGCAAAAGTAAAGGAAGAGAAGCTATTCAGCTCGTTTCTAGAGCAAGCCTTTTCTTACAAATCAACACCCCAAGCACTCACAAATATTATTGTATTTCTTGTATCATGTGACTGTGATATGTTCTATGCTCTTTTCCCCTCTGCCTTCAAGATCAGTCCTCCCCAAATACCTGGGCATCCTTTAGGGAGAACTGGGCAATCTGTTTCTGTGTCTCAGCCATGTTGTTCCCCAGCAACAGCGAGCGAGGAACTTGCCCACCCTGGCTGTCCTCCAGGATTGGAGTGAAGGAATGGGGGTCACGTAGAAGCACTTTTAAGCCATGTTTCTGCAAGACAGAATTATCACACACATGCAGTAGGGAGATTTGTGCACAGAGCTCAGACATATAGGTGACTATGCCAAAGCGTATGTTATACAACAGCCCCAGAATTACCCTTTCCTGGCATACAATAGAAGAATGATCGCTTTACACCACTAACAATTGTACAAATGGCCACCAGCTAATTTAGGCTGCAGTCTTTTAAATACGTTTATATGTGGAGTAAACTTCATCAAATATAGTGGGACTTAATTCCTGGTAAGCTCCTCAATATGAAGAGGCTCCTTTTTTAAACCTATTATCTGTTGGTTTCTGATTTCAAGAGTTTGCTTCCTTGATTATTGAAATGTTAATCAAATGTATTTATTTTATATATATTATATATTATACACACACCCATTTCACAGAAGGCAACTCTGGGCAGCAAACAACCAGATAAAACAATAAATAAAAACAAAAATGTCCAATATAAAAAACCTTATTAACAAATACCATAAAAGAAAAAAATACAAACAACAGGAGTGGGAAGAAAAAAAATGGCTACCTCAATAATGGAGTCATCAGAGCAAGTTCCAGTTGCCTGGGAGACCCAGGCCTGATAATAGTCAAAACTTGATGGATTTCCAGAATGACCATCTCATCCCACTGGGATTGGCCTGCCCCACCCATGCCAGCAGAGGAGGCATGCTACAGACCTTGTCAGCCCAAGTATTCAGGCTGGCGGGGTCCAGGAAAAGGGTCTTCTCTGCCATTGCACCTGCCCTCTGGAACATTGTGCCTCCCTCCTGCCCCCCTGAAGTTAGCTCCAATCCTCCTGACCTTCCATAAGAGCCTAAAGACCTGGCTCTGCCAGTTAGCTTGGCCTCCCACCGACCAGTACACTCCCACAGAGACTCCTCAGGGTGTCATCAGCCAGGCAATGTCGGCTGGTGACCCCCAGGGGAGGGCCTTCTCTGTGGCAGCACCTGCCCTCTGGAACGATTTGCCCCCGGAGATACGAAGGATACCAGATCTCCGGGCCTTTCGCCGTGCCCTAAAAACTTTTCTTTTCCATCAAGCAGGGCTGGCGTGAAACACCCCCCCCCCTTTTAGCTCTTTTTAGCTTTTTAAGTGTAAATTGGGTTTTAATTGGATTGTTTTAAATTGTGGGCCAAAGCTGTATAATTCTTTTAATCGGTTTTAAATTTTGTAGTGGTATGTTTTTATCCTTGGCTGTGCACTGCCCTGAGTCCAATAGGAGAAGGGCGGTATATAAATTGAATAAATAATAATAATAATAATAATAATAATAATAATAATAATAATAATAATAACAACAACAACAACAACAACTCCATTGGGAGAACATCAAAATGGAGGTGGTTGATAGATAAACAGCAAATTCTATCTCCCCCCATACTGCTCCTGCCCTCCCTATCTTTTAATTGGGCCACAGTGTTTGGCTTTTTGTATTAACTTTTTATGTTTTTAATATAATTTTAATATAGTTTTCTTTTATGATTGTAAACCTCCCAGTTACATTGAAAACGGGAGGCCAATAAATTTTACAAATATAAAATAAAACAAATACATGTCAAAAGGGATGGAGCTAATCTAAATTCAGGGGGAAGAATAATGTTCCATAAGGCAGGTGCTACAGCAGAGAAGGCACATTTCCTGGGACCCACCAAATGAAGGTTCCCAGTCAATGCTATCCACAACATGCCAGATCTGGGATCAGGATATAACAGGTTTCAGGAAAAAAATGACAAGCACAATTTGGAAAAAAAGATATCGAACAATACTAAGTATTTCCTGGTGCTACCCAAAGCACAATCCATACCTTCAGCTCCAGCTCAGTGTAAATCTGGGGTCTCAGCAGACTGAGCAGGTAAGAGGCTCTGGAGAAGTGAAAGCCTGCAGAATAGTGGAGATCAGGTGTACCAAGGGGCAGAAGTTTATATGCTTGGGAAAGGGAAGTATTGGATTAGTTTAACTCTTACCTGGGATGACTTCTTCAGTGACTGCAGCGCCTCCCACAATGTATCTTCTCTCCAGCACTACTGTTTTCAACCCTCCCTTTTGCAGATAAGCAGCCTGGGGATGCAGTGAGTATTAACTTGGTCCTGAATAGTTCCACCTGCTGCCTTCCAAGAATCCCTGCTGCGGAACCTCATAATTATAAAACCAAATATCCCCAGCAAAGAACAGATTCTCCCCAAGTACAGATTAAGCACCTGGGACCTGTTCTAGCCGATGTAAGGTGTCACCTCTTCTCATCACCCTCAGTACTTACAGCTACTAGTCCATTGTGTCCTGTAAAGAGATATCCCAGAATGAAAAGCTACATCATATGCTTCTTCTTATATAGATGCACATATTTTATTTATACAAGCATTTTTTGTCACCTTTCTCAACCCTGAAAGGGTCAAGGAAAAAAGATTCACTTGAAAAATTATAATTTATAATACAATTAAGAACAGGTTATATGAAAACATTTAAAATCAGCAGTAAGGACTGCAGATGCAAATGGATTGCCATGCCCGGCCACCCACAGTCAGCATGGTCAGGAATGAAGTTGCTGGGAATTATAATTCGGCTGTATCTAAACCAGTGTTTCTCAATCTTGGCGATTTTAAGACAAGTGGATTTTACTCCCAGAATTCCCCAGCCAGCATGCTGGAGAAACACTGATCTAAATGATCAGAGGTTGAAGATCCCTGTATATGTCTGGCACAGAATTACAGTAAGTCTCCAAACAATGTTTGATTTTTAAGACTGCATTAACCCTTTCAGAGAGTTTTCTTAGCAACTATGAGGTGGCTTTTCAACATTCCAGTCTAGTCCTGACCTTTTGAATGACCAAAAGTGACTCTGCTTAATTGAGATCAGCCAAGGTTGCTTAGATGCTATACCTAAAGGGCAATGCAGAACTCCAGATAAATATGCAATATTGGCAAACATTTGGTTGGGACACTATTAGAAAATACCTGGGAAGTAGAAAAACATCCTAGAAGGCAACATTGGCAAACTAAGTTTATACTGTTCTCAAAAAAATTGGAGGACACTCCTAGGAAGCTTTACTTTTTAAAGGGCTACAGGACTGCATGGCCAATAGTTTTTAGTTTAAAACTTCAAGGCTTGATCTTTGCATGTGAAGGAAGACTCTTGACGCCAAGATAGACACTGACTCCAAACCAAGGCAATTCTATCTGGGCAGTGGGCCATCTCTATATCTGGCCCTGGGGCGCCTCCTTCGCTCCCATATGTGTTAAATGGGCTTCATTCATCTGAGGCTCACCTGCCCCGATCACGACAGCATCGTACTCCCGCTTCAACGAGGCTGCAGGCCGCGAATGGTTTGCCCTGCAGCCCGGCAAAATCCGGCGAATGCCAGCCGGGCCCAGGCGCCGACAGTGCCTGCTTGCCATTTTGCACGCACTGAACTTTGCATTTGGGATGGCACTTTCGGGGGAAGGAACAGGGGAGGTCCTACGGGCTTTCAGGAAGGCGGGGAGGAGGAGGGAGGGGGAGTGCCCGGAAACCCTCCCGAATGCACAAGTATAGAGAGAGGGGAGACTCGTTGCTTAAATGTTTCCGTGTTATTTTGCTTCACCAACCACGCGATGTCCCAGCAAAACAGGCCAAAAACTAGGTGTGTTTTGTGACATAGTGCAAAGCAGAGCTGCTTTCCAGCTCCAGACTCACATCAAGTCCACCAAATCAGTTTGGTACCTGATACAGAGCATTTCAGAAACACCTTTCGCCCCTCCCAGCATTACACAGTAATAATTGTGGATAATTAACGAGTCTCTTTCCAAGACCTCCTATCACCTTACGTGCTCCGGAAATGTGAAATAACTGGAAAGTGTATTCTCAAGGGCACTTTAGGTACCCACACACAGGGGGTTTTCTTTGACCTGGGACCCTTCTCTTTCGGCCCCATTCAGCTCCTAGATTTTCCATCCAGCGCACACAACCTGAAAGAAGGGCTGTTTTCAAGGGACAGAGAAAGCCCTAAGGATAAACTTAACTAAGTGGCAGAAAAGGTGGTGTACTATGCACATATTAACATGAAATCAAAATTTTGAGAGCCCTTTGCTTGCAACCAAGCAGAAGACGACCTGATCCAGGCAAAACTGGAGCATCGGCTCTCTTACGTTTCTCAGCAATGCAGATCACTTGCCCTCCCCCAAGCTGGATAATCACAGCCATTGCCAACATTTGCAGGCAGCTGAGATTAAGAGGGCTTCCAGTCAAGCGTTTAAAGAAATAATTAACTTCTGATATCTATTGGTATAATTACAACTTCCACTCGGCTCGCCTGGCCATCTTTCACATGCTTCATCTGTGTTATCAGTCCCCACCCTTTCTTCTAAGTGGTTGGAAGAATATTTCTGCTTTCCAGCGTTAATGAAAATCTACCCACAAAGGGCTTTTTTCCCCATGTTTAAAATAGATTGTTTACCCACAGATGCCAATGCAGAATATATCCCGTTGCTTTATTCTTGTCAACTTTTAACTGCAGCACACTTACAAAAGCAGTCCCTGTCCTAATGTTTTCTTTTATTCGTATCCTTTTCATGTATTTATAATTATGTTTACACTTGCATCTGTCATAAAATACATGCTTGACGAAATAAATAAATAAATATTTCAGGAGGAAAACCGGAATCAAAATGTTGCATCACATTCAGAATCCCAGTTACTGTATGTCCCCCTCCACATAAGACCCTTTTTTCTCTTCCTCCTGATTTACTATTCCATCTCCTTCCAACACACTGAATGTTCTAAGTTGAGGCTGCTGAGCACGCTGTCCTTCCTGGGTTCTTTAGAGTGGGGAGGGCACTTTCTTTTGAGATTTTTTCTTGCTAAAGATTGCATTCACATCCTCAGGTTTCCTTTGCCCTACTGCTAGACTTCGCTTGGGACTCATTTGGTTACACAGCCCAGCTCTCTTCATTTGCATCTTGTACCGACACATACTTTATTCAGCATTACCCCTATCAAATGGCCTTCATCTCATTGTCAGCCTATGTACAGGACAGTGTTAAGTGGTGCTCAACCTATAGCAGTTTCCAGACGTATGAAATCTGACATGCTTTGCTGACTATCCTGCCAGAAGGTCAGGTGATTGTAAGGGGTGAAGTAGCAAACACCCATTAGCAACATCAGGCTTGTGTAGTTGTCACCACCTAACCCCTCAGGTTCCAGCCTTTTCCTCTGCCACCATTCCTTTGTTCCATTTCCTGGCAGCAAATACTGGACACACTTACAGCTCTGCTCATGGACAGCTGATTGGTGGCTGGCAGAGCTGTGGGGTGCAACTGCTTATTAGAAAGCTGCTTCTCCTGCTTTATCACGAGAGGAAGAGGCGACTGGGTTATCAATGTCATCTGCAAACTAGATGACATAGTTGATAAAACAGGAGACGGGGGTCAGTGGTCAAGATTTGCTACCTCCTGAAACCCCCACCCTGCCAATGCTTTCCTGCCAAAACATGAGTGTGCAGCAAAGCCAGAGGATTTCACTAGTTTGCCAGGCTTAATATGACCTGCATGTGCAATATCAGGATACCACTGCTTGGCAATAAGCCAACCTAAAGGTAACAGATACAAGACAGGGCAGCATTGGGAATAGTGAATTTTTAAATATCAGTAGTTTTCTGCCAGTTCTAGAACAGGTGACTATAATAATTCAGGTGTGAGAGAAAGCACTGTAGAAGTATTTCATTATTAATAAAAAAATCCCCTGCCAAGAATTATGAATAAACCTTGGTTCTCGCTTTCCTATACAGTAATCCTTATAAGTATAATTATCATTTTTTCTGGATAAATAGGCTGTCATACTGAAAACTGTTTCCCGATAAACATGAAACAGACAAAAGAAAATAGCTGCACATTATGTAGAAATTTCATCTTCATACCAGACACAGCCAGAGAAATGTACTCATCTATCTGGTTATAAAATAGTGTAAGAGCGTGTTCTACGGAAAATGGCAACAACAGACATGGCTAAGAATAGACAAATAGCTGTTTTCGATCAGACCTGAAATAAATTAAGTTCCATTGTAACCAGTTTACCATGTTCCAGATGTGCTCAACTTCAACTATAATAATCCCCTAGCCAATAAAATAAATTTTTTGATATTTCTGCCTTCTGCAACTGATTCCATATCACTGGCCTGTACTGAAACAACAGTACAGTAGAGGCTGTATGAGGATTTTAACCACAAATACAGCCAGCTTTGCCAAGTTGCCTCAGTCTTTATTGGACAATTAGAATACTAAAAGCTGATATGGTATAAACTATTAAAGCTGAGAATCCTTAGCTCTTTTTCTATGGACATCATTTTCATTATGTTCATATCTCTTTTTGCACACAAGTTTTACAAACATTTGTAAATCAAAGAGGGAGAATATGGTGCTTGTGTATGTGTTCTTGGACATCTGAAAAATCCCTGCCCATCTTTTTGAAATTGTATTTAAAAGAATAAAATAAATACATGGGAAGCTAGCATGCTGCAAAGCAAGACGTAGACCAAAAAACCCACAAAAAGCCTCTGGAGATTTTTTTTTTTTTAAATATGCCCCAAGGTCTTCTATGCCTTTAGGGGTAAAGGCCAACTGATGCCCTAAGCATAGCCCAACATGCATTACAGTCCTTCCATTGCTTAACTTACGTTAAGATTGACACTTTTTAACATTAGTCAGTCACCATGCAAAAGGAAATATTTTTAATAATACAATTAAAGTTGAACATGGTAGGTAGATAATTGGGAAAAGAAAGAAACACTGAATTGAATGTGGCAGTGAAAGAATTAAGGGCATGATAGCTGGGTGAAAAAACTTTGTGGCATCCCACTCACCCTTCCATTGGGACCCTGAGCATGTACTTAATTTGCTTAAGCATTAATCGAAGGCTGTCTGGGCCCCATAGGCATTCTTAAAAAAATTTTAAAAAACCAGAATGGTTGCAATTTAGGACTCTCATTGGATATGTAGACACTTACAAATAAGATTTTAAAAACTGAATTGGAGTGATAAGAGACTGATAGCTAGGATCTAGCCAGGGTGTTGGACGGCACTCTCTTGGTTCACTTCTGTATTTTATAAGAGGCCTAAAATGTTATCTTTTCTGCTCTAAGTTATTGTATATTACATTTCTCAAGTCTAGGATAAATATTTAATGATAATGAAGTGCCTAACAAAATGAGGCACTATACTAAACATATAAGTTTACAAGCTGTGCCCAATGGGCTTCTGAGTCAAAATTCTGATGTGCAGTTACAAGAAAGGAAGTCCTGCACTGCAAGTTCTCCAACAGAAGTTCACACCAAGGGCCAATGCTAGGTCAGTAGCTGTGCTCTGACATGAATCGCTTTTGGTATCCAAGACGGAGCTCTTCAATGTTGTGAAGGAAAACAAATGAACACATTGATCTCCTAGCTCTGAAAATCCAATGGAGGTCAAGTTAAAACATTACCCAAGTTAGACCTGTCCCACTGAAGTAAAATCAGCAGAGACCTGAGATGCAACATAGTCCAGAAAGAAGAAAACAGCCAAATTGCACTGAGCACCAGTCAAGCCCTCTAAAGCAAGGGGATGCGTGTTGGCTCCCACAGTTGCTGGGCCAAGCTGCGTGCCTGCTGGATCATAAGTTCATTTGGCATGATGCCCAGATGGATGGTCAGCAGCTCATAGCACTTCACCACTTCATTGGCATGTTTCCTGCCGAAATAACGGAGCAGTTTCCTGTATGAGAGGGTCAGAAAATGGGTAAATGTGGGTGGTGGTGAAAGAGTGAAATTAAGAAAGTTCTACAAAGCCTCAATGGTCTTTCCAGCAAAAGACAAAAGCCCTGGACTTCAACTATCAACAGGCTTACAAAAATTTAAAATATAGCCATACAATTTTAGGCAATTTAAAGATCTCTCCCAATGTTATGCAAAGTAAAAGATAAAGTTGCAAGAATATTGATTGTTACAACACCTTTCAACTTCATATCATACAAAGATAACTACAGTATAGGTTTAGACCTAATGTTGGAGTCGCACACTTCAAAGTTGTGAATTATACCATTGCTAGGAGGAAGAGGCAGTTAATTAAGCTGTAAACACTGTCCTTTTCATCTAATCACAGAGCTTGAATCAAATCCCTTCTGCACCCATCAGTATCTATGGAGTCAGAAACCTTGCTTACCTGTAATAATCACCTGCCAGTGTCCCAATGGGAACTGAATCATCAGAAAGCACTGGCACTTCCATAACCTCCAGCTTATATCCCTACATGGAAACAGAAAGAAACTGTCAGGGAAAAGCTGTTTTGAACCGAAGCAGATGTATGTATTTTTAGCTCATGGCTAAAGAAGGCATCCTCATCTTAGTGCTCTTCAGAAAGACTGGACATCAGTCTGCACTATCTTCCTGTCGTCAGTACTTAATTGCCACATTAGTTGCTCATCCCC